TGCTGTTGAATCGGTTTCTAGTTTGGGCCCCAGAGCCCTTCTGGCCAAGTCAGATATAAAATTGGCTTTTCGTTTACTCCCTGTTCATCCCGATGATTATGATTTACTAGTTTTTTTGTTCGACGGTTCATTTTATTACGACAAGTGTATGCCCATGGGTTGCTCCATTTCTTGTGCCACGTTCGAACGATTTAGCACCTTTCTCGAATACTGCACTCGTAAGGTTGCAGCTACTCCGCACATTCTCCATTATTTGGATGATTTTCTCTTTGTGGGCGAAGGGCAATCCAACGAGTGCGCACATGCGCTTACTTCTTTCACAGTAGTTTGCCGGGACTTTGGTGTTCCTTTGGCCAGTGACAAAACAGTGGGGCCAGTGACAAGCTTAGATTTCCTGGGCTTAACAATTGATACAGTTGCCCAGCAGATTCAGGTTCCTACGGCCAAGGTCCTTGCAATTCTGGCAAAGTTGGATTGCACTTTGTCAAAGCGTAAAGTCACCCTACGAGATCTTCAATCATTGCTGGGTAGCCTAAATTTCATTTGTAAGGCAATACGGCTGGGCCGGACCTTCTTGCGTCGTCTCTTCCATCTCACAAGCGGCATTCAGAAACCACATCATTGTATCCGTATTTCATCCGGTGCGCGGGCCGACATGCTGGCTTAGCAGGAATTTTTGTTCCATTTTAATGGTTCAGTTATTTTCCCTCAGGAGGTATGGTATTCTAGTGGCAACTTGCACTTGTACACGGACGCATCCCAGCAGTTCGGTTTCGGAGCTTTCTTTAATGGGCGTTGGACGCAAGGCATGTGGCCACTGCAATGGCGCTCCTTGAATTTATCCATTACTTTTCTCGAACTTTTCCCGATCACCCTCGCGTTGCGCTTATGGGGCCCGGCCTTGCAAAACCGGCGTGTCATATTTTGGTGTGATAATGGGGCTGTGGTGGCGATTATTAATAGCCAGACATCAAGGTGTCCCAGAACTATGAAATTGGTTCGCATGTTTGCAGTGCTTTGTTTGAGATTGAATATCCACTTTCAGGCATGCCATGTACCTGGTCTTGATAATGGCATCGCTGACGCTCTATCTCGTTTTCAGATGGATCGTTTCTGGCGGCTGGTGCCTGAGGCCGCCCCCGTTATGACACCCTTGCCTGCAGACCTTTGGAACAACTTACTTTAGAGGTTCACAGTCTTTTGATGGACTCATTTGCCCCGTGTACCCATTCAGTTTACCAATGTGCTTGGCAATTTTTCTGTTGGTTTATTTCCCACCATGGTTTTCTTAATACATCTTCTAGTCCCACATTGCAGCAGCTTGTGCACTTTATTGCATTTTTGTCCGTTAATGGGTACGCTCCGGCTACTGTTGCATCGTATGTCTCAAGGATTGCGTCTACACTCCGCTTGCAGGGTTATCATGACATAACTAAACATTTCATTGTGAAACGAATGTTAGATGGTTGCCGCCGCCGATCCAGGCGGCGCGATCAACGCCGCCCTGTTACGATTGTTTTACTGCAGCGTATTATTCCTGCTTTGCACTTCGTTTGTACCAATCAGTATGAAGCCCTACTGTTTTGAGCTGCTTTCCTGTTAGCATTTTTTGGGTTTCTGCGCTTTGGTGAACTCACTGCGTCCACTCGATCTGGTATTTCACCTTTACGTCGTTCTGATGTTACCCTTCATCACACCTCTTCCGGCAGTGTGGTTAATCTAAACATTCGTTTCTCCAAGACCGACCAGTACGGTCAGGTCTATAGTAAAGATTACGGTAACACCATGTATTTATCTCTTCTTTGAGTATGTGTGGTTCTGAGAAGAACTCAACGTTTCGAACAGTGTACTCTGTCCGTCTTCAGGAGACGTTGAGTTATTCCCCGGTTCTTCTCAGAAGCACANAGATTGGTGCGGCCACAGTAGCCGTAATGGCGGGAATTCCTGACGTTGAGATCCAACAGATGGGTCGTTGCAGTCACTCCATCATTTACTGGTCGGAGATTTTGCCAAGGGTCTCCTATGCCTCGGCTAACAGACAAAATTCGGTTGAGCGCACCAGGCGAGCTCTTAACCGTTCGGTGGGCAATCTTTTCCACAGGGCGCCGGGTGGGTTGATTGCTCACCCCCAAATTGAGTGGTGGCGGCAGGATTTATATTTATCAGATGGGGTGCACCTTGTGGATGCCGCTTCGGAATTCCTTATTTACAACTTCCATACCGCGTTACTCCAGTCTTGCGGAATAGCTTGATTTCCTGTTACAATGCCAGCGCAAACACCGCCTCCCCCTACATACGTGAGGTCACTTACCTATCATCACGGGGCCCATTTGGCGGCAGTCATAAATGACCGTGTGGCGGAATTTCATTCTTATCACCGTCATGGGCCTTAAGATTATGAATCAACATAGCTATATAAAACCTATGCAATGAACGAATTCTTACATACATGGAATCAATAGGAAGTCTGTATAATGTGTATGGTTCACTTTGCAGTTTATAACCCAGATGGAATGGGTAGTCTATATACGGATTACGCTTCGACCGGGGATATGCTAAACTATCACTTACATAAAATGCTATTGGTTATCGATCTGGAATTAAAACTGCTCTGGCCGTACGATAACAAAAGAATTAAACTTGCGCTGGTGTAAGATTTCATTCATTTTGTGTCTGACTTATGCGGCAATAAAATATTGGACCGGACTACATGTATTTTTGAGATTAGTTTTGCATGTTACTTCGTGAAGAGTTCTTTTAGACCTTAGTTTCATAGGATGAGTGCTTTTCGATTTGACAAACCATTCATTAAACTTGTTTGAATTGTATGATTTTAATGCAAAATTTGTACATAGTGTGGTTCTTCTAGTGTGTAAGGGTTCCAGACCCAGAGTTGCTAATGCATTTTCATAGTGATTGTATTCATGATATGGTTCAGATTGGTTGGGGCTTAGCAGTCTAAAAAACCTATGGGCACTTTACAAATAACGAACGAAAAGACAGACATAGTGGATAACATCACCGAAAAGGACTATGATTCGTTTGTAACTTACGATTTCACATTTATCCCACCACAACTTTCATTCATAGGCCTTTAACTATTGTATATGAATATATTACGATCATTGCATCATGAGCACGGCATGCTTTCATACCATCCAGCCAGCCCTGCACACTTTATGTAGCATGCACACTGTACATGTACACGTACATATGTTTCCATGTGCATGTAAGTTCTGCACAGTTTCACTGTACATGGTACAATCTGTTACATGTTTTATTGTCCAGTAAAAAGTTTTCAGTGACAAGAAAGGCAATCAGTATCAATCTTTATCAAAGCCGTGTGCAGTGTTGTCTGATTTAAATCACCTTGATTTAAATCAACAATTTAAATCGCAGTTTAAATCAACCGTTTTTTTTTTAAATCACTGATTTAAATCAACATGTTAAATTTTTGAGGTAAAAAGGCAGAAATGTTTCAGTTTTTTAAATCGTTTTCACTGATTGGTAATGGTTGCAGGTTTTGCACATTTTTAACAGCAAATCCCCCCTCTGTGAGCCTTCCAGTTTTTAGTATTAAAAAGTATGAATGCACATGCGTTACACAAAATCTGGGTTGGCAAAAAGTTTATGTTCAATTCTGTCCACTTGTTTTGATTTAAATCAGTATTTTGGATTCAGTAAGTGTGTTTGATGTGAAGGATTTACAATCATGATTTAATTTTACTTCATTTAAATTGCCCAATTCAGAGTAAAACATAGAGGAAGGGCACAGGAGTTAGAACTCTGGCATTTCAAAGTGCTCGATGAGCATTGCCGCCTGGTCAGACAAACAATAGTGAACATTCTAAAATTGCCTGATTACTGCCTGCTGGTTAGCCGTACAAGTGGGACAAGTGCTATTGTAGCAATATTTTGTGTGTTTTGTTTGCAATTAAACAAAACAAAAGAAAAACTACATGTATTACACATGCAGATAATTTGCTTGCTTTTGAATAGACATTTGAGCCAACTTGTCTCACATTTTTGTAAAAATAAAAAAATCTGATTTTTTTTTTAATATCAAAAACATTGACAACCCTGGCAGTGTGCCATGAGCTTTGGTTGTCACGAAAACTTTGCTCTGTGCATACATAAAGCTTGTGTGCTCATTGAATTCATGCAAGAATCCCCAGCGTGTCAGATCATAATCATATGTAAATATTGTCATGTTCACACGTGTTGGTTTGACATTTTCCTATTTTGATTGAGGCGGGCTTGTTACAGTCTGCATCAACTGAACAAAGTTGAAATACAGTTTAAACTTTTGAATCCCGTTCAGGTGTTTTTTTTTAAAACTTGAATCAGGATGAAAAAGGTTCACTTTTTCACTTTTATTTAAATTAAAGGGACACATACATGATGTACAACTGTGCTGAATTGTAGGGTTGAAACTTACATGTAATGTCAGTTGGGCCTAAATAGTGTATTTTTAATTCGGAAGTATAAAAATTCTGGTTCAAACAAAACAAAAAGCACTGAGATGATGTACATGTACATATTGTAAACCCATTTCTAACCGAACTAAAACTAAATAAATTTTTAAAACTGCCCCAAGAACATTATAAACCATCAGAGAAATATCTACCACCAGGGTACAATTGTTTGACCTCATTATCCACTTCAGTGGTTTATTTTAAGGAGAGCGATTTGCTCTCCTGAGAGATTTGAGGACAGTGATTTATAGCTCTCCTGGATTTTCTTAAAATGAAGGACATGTACACGTAAAATGAATTAACCAAAAAAATTCACTGTACAGATACACGTTCATGTACATGTAATTGGACTTTTACTATGCCTAGTTTAAGTCCATGAGTCTTTACATCCGGACTTCTCTTCCAAAATCAAAATTCTTCACAAATCAATTATAAACGTAGATGTGTAAAAGCTCAAAGAGTGCTACGTACTTAAAAATAGGTTGGCTGCGCCCTCTATTTGTTCGTATACACTAGTGCCATTACCTGCAAGATTCACCAAGTCTTCTTCTGAAGCATCTTCAAGGGCATTCTCCCACTCAGGATCTAGCTTCACATTTTCCTCCGTTTTCTTTACTGGCTCCGTTTTTTTGGATTCATATATTTTACCTAAGAAAAAAAAAAGATAAAGATGCATTCAGACATGGTTACAGATTCATTAATACTGGTGCTCTTTACCCATTCCTACTGCCATTACGGATGCCTCGGTTGGAGCCGCACAACTTCCAGAACACTATGACATAGAAGCTGTTATCTGTTGGTATAGACTTACACTGGTAGGCTTGTTAATCAGGGCACCAAGGCTGGTGAAGCCAGAACGGAGCGAAGAGAAGATTACAGCAATGCTCCCAAATGACTCTGACAGAACTGCTGGGAAATGGGGTTAATGAAGGGTAGGTGCATAAGTAAAATGTAAGTAACCCTTCCTGGATGAAATGAAGGATGTCTGACACCAAGGCTTGTATGTGGGGGAACCTTGTGCAGACATCAGAAGCTGAAAGTGCTCTGTGTGGCAAAAGGTCAAAGCTATACTGATATGCAGAGTTTGCTTCATCAAGTACATGCAAGTCTTTCTCTGAAAGCAGATGTCCGCAATGTTGGCTGCGGGATACGGGTTGTCTTCAGGTCAGTCCCAGTGTTAAATGCCTTTGGGAACAGTTGTCTAATCGAAACAGTGCATTTGCCCTAAAGGCTGTACAGAAGAGGTGTACCGCACTGAGAGTTGCCTGGAGTTCCAAAATGTTGAAGAGACTTCTCAGTAACTAAGGCACCCCTGTCCCTGAGACCTGGAAGGTGGAAAGGGAAGCACTCCATTCAAATTGCAGAGATGTCAACTTTTCCAAATAAAAAAGTGTAATATTGCAACACAACACCAAATTACCTACTGTGTGTATACATTTCAACAGAAACACATTAAAAACCCTTTGAGTCGAAAATCGTTAGCGGTTTCAGCAAACAGCTCTTGTTTTCATTTTTAGCAGTTTCGGCTACTTGCCCAAACAGCTATTGTAATTTTTTTTTTTTTCTTTTTAGCTGTTCCCAATCTCAACAGCTTATTGTAATCGTCAATTTTTGTTTCCTTTTTGGCTTTTTCGCAATTTTGCGAAAAGCATTCTTTTTATTCTTTCTTGGGGGGGCTTTTTCACATTTTGCGAAAAAAGCTTTGTTTTTGTTCTGGTTTTTTTTTTGGCTTTTTCGCAATTTTATGAAAAAGGCATTCTCTTTGTTTGTGTTTTTTTCTTCCTCTTCTGACAAAAAGTCCATTTTTGTGCATATTTTTTCTACCCATGACTTTGGTCTCTCAGCATCTTTGGATCTTCAAACTTACGTCAATGAACAACCCTTATGCATAGATGGTCCTAGAATAATGACGTCATAATGACGTCATCAAGTGGTTTATTATTGATTTGTCAATATTTATTTCAGCCCATTGACTTTGTACACATTTTTGAGGCATCAGTTTGGTTACTCAGCTATCTTCAATCGTCATCTAAGTCATACCAAGGAAGGAGCTCGAGACAAAGATAATACTAAAATAATGACGTCATGATGACGTAGTAAAGTGATTTATTATTGCTTTTTCATTATTTATTTGATCCCCGTTGACTTTGTACACGTTTTTGAGGCATAATTTTGGTTTTTTATACTCAGCTATCTTCAATGGTTATCAAAGTCATACCAAGGAAGGAACTCGAGACAAAGATAATACTGAAATAATGATGTCATGATGACATCATCAAATAATTTATTATTGATTTTTCAATATTTATTCGAGCCCCGTTGACTTTGTACACGTTTTAAACCAATTGACTTTTTACATACATACAAGTGTTGCCTAAGCTTTTGCATACGCATGTCCGTTGCACTAACAGCTGATCTGCGCGATTGGCCAATGTAAACGTTGTCTCGCAGTCTTATTGCATGACTTGGCTGGAAAGTTGTGAAGAAATCATGCAAAACATTGAGAGAAATGAACTCTGAGATTTCGTGTCATCAGGCCTCAACCAATTGTTTAAAGCAGTACTCAACACCAATCGTTCATGCATATATCGACGATTTGCGCGGTACCTCAGGTCAACACATGGATGCGAACAGGACGATGTTTTCGACGGGCCCATGTGTTTTCTTAGGACCTCTTCATGCTCTTGGGACCTCCCAGACCTGAAATTGCACCAGCTCAGTTTCGGATGGAGCACAATACATACTTGTGCTTTTTCAGACATTTCACGAGGGTGCTGAAGATTGGCATGGAACTGACTGAAGTCCCTCAAAACACTCAAGTGCATTCCATATTTCATATCTATGCCCCCCTCCCCCGAGGACAAACCAATGTCATTGCGGGTTCATGGTAAATATCCAAACATGTATGAAATTTGAATGTAGACCTATAATTATTTTTGTAAGCTGTTTATACAAAGTAATTGAATTTTCTTATTTGCTTTGTGTGTAAGGTATCCTTCACACTACTGCTGGAATGAAAGCTGGAGAATGGCGATAAATCTGTTCTCCATGTTATTTCTGAATGATGAAATTCAACGTAACTGCAGTTACATGTAGATATCAGAGACACAAGTACATGTACCAACGATAAAGGAAGCTGCATGCAATGAAGCACGGAAATTAACAGGTGATGGTGAAAAGGCCCACTGTTGCATTGACATACAGACAGATTGCCAGTCATGAATCAGTTAGTGTGTGTGGGGGGGGACATCCATTTACCATCATGCCAGGTCCCCCATTTTAACATTCGGGTCCCCACGTACTCCTCATTTAGTAGGAACCTAAGGTTGCTATACACTATAAGTTCTGACACAAGTTTTCCCCAAGCATCGACACAGAAACTGCTCCAATTGTAATATTTAAATGCTTTCCTTTTGCAATGATACAGATGTTCATCAGCACAGACATGAGGGCGGTCTTCACACATGTCCCGGGTATCGTTGAATAGGAAGTGCAGTTGAAGCAGGACGGATCCTGAGAAGGGTGGGAACAGCTTCTTCAAAATACTCGTAGCAAGACTGCAACTGACAGGAAGTGAGATTTATTTGTATATGTACATGTAACCGCTATAATTTATTTGAAAGACAATGGCAGAAATAGTTCTTCTGGTTTCAGAAGAATAGTGCAAAGTTATCAGCGAAAAGATCCTCATATTTTCAACCGGTCCCCATGTCATTTGAAGTCTGTGCAGATCTTCAAAACAGAAAGAAGTTGGCAGGTTTAATATGATACACTTCAGAAAAATGCCCTGAACCATGAAGGCACTGTGTTTTTGTGTTTGATTATCTACGTGTTGATATCAGGTGAATATTTCAATTTCCTTATTTTTTTCTTGTGTACAGACTTCCTTCATGCTGCTGCTAAAGTGAAAGCTACAGATAATAGTTCTGCATGTTTGGAATTCAACATCACTGCAGTTACACATAGATCAGATGCACGGCTACCCACGATAAATGAAGGTGCTGTACAGCGAAGCAAGGAAATAAAAAGGTAATGGTGAAAAGGCTTACTGTTGCAATGACACACAGATTGCCAATTTTGATTACTGCAGTCATGAAGCAAAGTTTGTGAGTTTGTTTTTGCATTCAATTGGGAAACCTAATAAGTCCACGATTCACAGAGCATTCCAGATTGACAACTGTGTGCAAAATATATGGTTCGTCTTCTAAAAAGTTTAAGTACAAACAAAAGATGAACAATAGGGGGTCCCCAGTTGTGTGTGTGTGGGGGGGGGGCATCCACGTACCGCCATCATGAATGGTTCCCTCATCAGTACCCACTTGCCCGGTCCCCCACTTTAACGTTGCGGTCCCAATGTACTCCCCATTCAGCGAGAACCGAAGGTTGCTCTATGCCAGTGATTTGTATTTGTGTTTAAGTTTTGACATCAGTTTTTCCATGCATCAACACGTGTACCTGTAATAAATGTTTTCCTTTTTACAATGATGCAGATTGTAATCAGCACAGACATGAATACAGTCTTCATCAAAGTACTCCTAACAAGATTATCAGAAAAATTGCAACCGCCAGGAAATTATTTGCTTTTCGATATAGGTATCCTTCACACTGCTGAAGTGAGAAGAGATAAATTTGTTCTCTATGATGTTGGTTTTAGGAATTGGAATGCAATGTCACTTTGTGGTGTGTATCAGAAGCACAGCTACCCAAGATGAAGGAAGCTGTTGGACAACCAAGCAAAGAAAGTAACAAGGTAACTTAGAGGTGAGAAAGCCTGCCCTTGGATATTGACACACAAGAGATGGCCAGTTTGATGAATACAGTCATGAAGCAAAGACGGGGGATTCATGCATGTACTAATGTAAATCACTCAGTGTTCAACATCCACATGTCCAGTCTCCCACTGTAACATTCCTACTCATATGTAGCAAAGTGATAACAAAAGTGCTGAAAGTTCTTACACTTTTTTTCCATTCTTTAACATATAACTGACACACACTGAATTAATGTCTCCCTTATTTAGATGACAAAGAGGAACGTTTACCAGCATCATACACAGAGGTCTTCTTTGGACATATTGGTGTGATTGATGGAAATGCAATTCATACTGACACTGTTCTACAGGATGACTTCATTAAAATATCATGATATCTAAACAAAATGCAACCAATAGGACATGAGATATATAGATGCATGTGTACATGTCCCAGGCATAATTTTTCAAGATTTCTGCAGAAATTGTGAACACTTAGAACAGGTTTTGCAAGCAGTATGCAAAGTTTTCAGCAGTCACAAGTTCCTGAAATTTACACGTTTTCCCAAGTCTTCCTAAGTATGTATGGCATAAAAAACTTCACCAGTAGTGAAATGCCCCAAAGTACAAATGCAGATTTCTTTTCATTTATAAATAGTAAGGAAACTTTTAACATTCTTTAACTCTCATAATCCTTCAACTTTAAGACCAGTTTCATTGGTATCTGTTAAATAGATATCTGTTAAAAGTAATCATTTGTCCAGTTACTTTCAATAGGATATAAGATGTATTTTTGAAAGAATTGTGTGAAATTGATGTTGCATTATTTTTCTTCCCGTCTTTGAATTCGACGAGTTTTAGTTTGTGTATTTCGACAGCCCTAACAGTCCCAAATCCT